TTAACATGTCAGACACCTTGAAGAGAAATGCATGCTGCATGGAGCATTGTGTAAGAAGGAGACTGACAGGGAAACATCCAGTTAAATGCACAGAAGACACAGTTTATTACCATGTTCTTTAACTGATGGTCTGGTGACTGTGGAATGTGGAATGCAAACAGCCAATGGCAGTGATTCTGGAGAGAGAGAGAGAGAGAGAGAAAGCAGATGATTTCCCCTCAGAGTCTTACTGTTAGGCCTCTCCTGCTGTGGAGCTTTGATCCCTTTACAGTGGAAAGTGTACTTGGACACAAAGGAATTGACCAGTTATCTTACTGTGGAGGATAAGTCCTCTCATCGTATATAGTAATGGCAGCATAACTTTCACACATGTTTTGTCATTTGGATATCAATAGCATTTAAAACATGGCCTCATACTTAAAGAACAAATAGAGTTTAGAATTAAAAATGGACAGGCATCCTCCTTTAAATATTCTAACAAGGTTAACAAGTCTAGGCCAACATTATTTCACCATCACATGTCATTATTACAAGCTTCTGTTTTACCAACACATGTCATTTGTACACGCCTCTGTTTCACTATCACATGTGGTCTAAGGCACTGCATCGCAGTGCTAGCTGTGCCATTAGAGATCCTGGTTTGAATCCAGGCTCTGTCGTAGCCGGCCGCGACCGGGAGACCCATGGGGCGGCGCACAATTGGCCCAGCGTCGTCCAGGGTAGGGGAGGGAATGGCCGGCAGGGGATGTAGCTCAGTTCGTAGAGCATGGCGTTTGCAACGCCAGGGTTGTGGGTTCGTTTCCCACGGGGGGTAAAAAAAATTAAAAAATAATAATGTATGCACTAACTGTAAGTCGCTCTGGATAAGAGCATCTGCTAAATGACTAAAATGTAAATGTAAAAACGTATTACAAGCTTCTGTTTTACCATCACATGTCATTAGTACACGCCTCTGTTTCACCATCACATGTCATTAGTACACGCCTCTGTTTCACCATCACATGTCATTAGTACTTTGTAAGTAGGAAATAATACATGACACATTCATAACCCATACTTAAGACATTCATAACCCATACATAACACATTCATAACCCATACATAACACATTCATAACCCATACTTAAGACATTCATAACCCATACATAACACATTCATAACCCATACTTAAGACATTCATAACCCATACATAACACATTCATAACCCATACTTAAGACATTCATAACCCATACATAACACATTCATAACCCATACTTAACACATTCATAACCCATACCTAACACATTCGTAACCCATTCTTAACCAGTACATAAACATGCTTATACCGGGGATGGGGGAGTGTTTGTTTGGGGCTGTGGAGGGGGAGCTGAGGCGCTTATTTGGTCGCGATGACCCTATCAACTCTCTCGTTGACACCCAAAGTGGAGAACATTTTCCCCAGAGCCGCTGTGTCGAGCTTGGGAAGCCCTGCCTTTCCTTTCCAGCCGGCCGGCCGACCGACCCACCACCCTGCCCCTGCCCCTGCTGCATTCCTCTCCTATCACTGTCCACACCAGAGCAGAGGCAGAGGGCGCACAGCCATGACTGGGGAGACTGGTCTTCATCAGGGCCCTATGACAGAGAGATAGGGTCTGGTCTAGAGAGAGAGAGAGAGGAGGAGAGGAGAGATACGAGACATAGAGTAGAGTTCTAAAGGAAAGGGGGAGGGAAGGGAAAGGGGGTTTTGGGGTTTCGTTTTTTAATTTATATTCTATATTCCCCTGAAATTTGGTTTTCCTCCTTTGCCCTATCGAAAATTTTCTCTCCCCTATTCGCCGGCCCTTTCCCCTCTCTTCCTTTTCTTCCTCTTTTCTCTCGCTCCTTCCTTCTCTCTCCTCTTCTAAAATCTCTATTCTCCCTTTTCCCCCTTTCTTTCCTTGGTTTTTAAAAAAGAGATAATAGACACCAAAAACCAAAAGAATGGAACCCCCCTCCAAACCCTGAGCCCCCCTGATTTTTTAAATTTTTTTTTTGTTTTTAGAAAAAAGATCCCACTAATCTACAAAAAATTTAAAAACCAAAAAAGTGAAAGAAAAAACCAAATTATTAAAAACAGAAAGAGAAAAAAAGTAAATTTTCGCCCCCAAAATTTAAAAAGTTTTGACTCTCACTAGCAGCTTAAAAAACCAAAAAAACCAACCACAAACCCCAGCCAGCAGGCTAACAAGCCAGCCAGAGAAATGTAGCTATAACAAACCTAACCAAAGGGAGTTAATACAACTACATCAAACGACCAAACTGAGTAATCAAAAAAGGAGCACACAACACCAAAACATGTTTTCTGTTTTTGTGTGTGAAGATTTTTCAGTCTTTTTTGCTGTTTTTTTTTAGATAAACTAGAGCTAACTAGCAACAGCAGCAGACAAACAAACTGGTTGCCATCCCAAAGGTGCATCCCCGAAAAAGCACAGCAACAAATATTTGCAGAGCCCCCAGGGACCAAATTTTCCCCCCCCCCCCCCCTCACGCCTTAAGTCCATTTTTCTAAAACCCTCCAAAACCCCCAGGGGACCTGTCCCCCCCCCCCTCCAGGCTGAGGTCCAATTTTTTTCTACCCTCCAACCCCCAGGCCCCATTTCCCCACTCCCCCTTTCCCCCCCCCGCGCCCCCGGAAAATCCCCCATTTTTTCTACCCCCCCCCCCCAAGGCCCCCGGCCCCATGTACCCCCTCCCCCTCAGCGCTGATTCCCATTCTCCTCCCTCCAGAACCCACCCTTTTTCCCATGTACCCCCCATCCCCCAGCCCTGATAACCTAAACCCCCCCCAACCCCCCCCTTCCCCCCCCTCCCCTCACCCCTGAGTCCCTTCTCTCCCCCCAGGGCCCCCCAGGCACCATGTTTCCCCCCTCCCCTCAAAACGCTGAGTCCCCCTTTCTTTTCCCCCCTCCAGAGGGCCCCCGGCAAACCCTGTCCCCACTCCCCCCAGCCTGATCCTTTCCCCTACCCTTTTCCCCCCCCGACCCACAGGGACCCATGTCCCCCCCTTTCCCCCCCAGCGCGAGCCATTCCCTCCCCCCCAGAGGCCCCAGGCCCCCATGTCCCCACTCCCCCTCAGCGCTGAGCCATTCCCCCACCCTCCAAGGCCCCCCAGGGACCATGTCCCCCCTCCCCCTCAGGCGATCCCTTTCTAACCCCCCAGGGCCACAGGGCAACCCTGTCCCCCACTCCCCCCCCAAGGGCGAGTCCCTTTTTCAACCCCCCCAGAAAGGGCCCCAACAAACCATGTCCCCACTCCCCCTCCAAAAACCCCCCCAAATCCCTTCCTTCTAACCCCCCTCCAAGGCCCCAAAGGGACCAGTCCCCCCCCCCCTCCCCTGGGGTCCATTCTCTAAAACCCTCCCAGGGGCCCCCCGGCCCAAAACCCGTCCCACCCCCCTCAGCACTGATTTCCCTTCTCTAAACCCCCCCAGGCCCCCAGGCACCATGGGCCCCCCCCCCCCTCCCTGAGGGCCTTTTCTCCCCCCAAAGGGCCCCCAACCCCCATGTCCCCCCCCCCCCCCTCAGCGCTGAAATTTTCCTTTTTCTTTCTCTAAACCCCCCAAGGAAAAGGGAAAAAAAAAACCATTTGGGCCCACTTTCCCCCCCTCCCCGTCCCTTTTCCCCCCTCCCCCCCCCTTCCCCAGGCCCCCTTTCCCCCCCCCCCTCAGAAACTGAGTCCAATTTCTCCCAAACCCCCCAGAAAGGCCCCACAAAAGGCCCCGGGCCCCCTGTTCCCCCCTCCCCCCCCCCCAAAACGCTGAATTTCCCTTTCTCCCCCAAACCCCCCAGGGCCCCCAGGGCCCCCCATTTTCCCCCCCCACTCCCCCCCCTCAAAGCGCTGAGTCCCCTTCTCTCCCTCCAAGGTCCAAAAGGCACCCTGTCCCCCTTTTTCCCCCCCCCTTTTAAACCTTTTTAGTCCTTCTTTTAAACCCTTCCCCAGGGCCCAAAAAACCCATTTCCCCCCCCCTCCCCCTCACCTTAGTCCCTTCTCTACCCCCCCGAGGCCAAAAAAAAGACACAAAAGAGGAAAAACTTTTAAAAAAAAAAAGAACTTTTTTCCCCAAGTGGGGGGAAAAACCGAAACCCCCCTTTTTACCCCCGACCTCTAAAAAAAACAGTGTGTGAGTATCTCATCTTTCTCACTGAAACCCCCCAATCAGGGGGCCCAGGGAGTCTGCTTCCTTCAAAATACCCCAAATTCCCCCCCTAAAAGAAAAAAGGGATTTTTGTTAAAGGGTGGAACCCAAAGTCCAAAAAGGCAGATGACCCGACGCACCAAATACCAAACCCCTCTCCAAAATGGGACTGTCAGGGGGCAAGGGGAAACCTTTGCTGTTTGAAAAAACTTTCAGACCCTTTAAAAGAGAGCAAAAGAGAAAGGGGGCACCCCCATTGACTTTTGGCCAAACCCTCCACAAAGGGCAAACCCCCACCCACCCCCCAAACCCCCCCACCCCCATATCCCCCCCCAAAAGGCCCATCCAAACCCCCCCCCTTCTTCCCCCCATAAATGGAGGGCACCCCCCAGGGAGGAAAGCGACCCCCTCATTTCAAAACAGGTCAGCCCTCCCCACCCCCCCCATTTCTTTCCCCTGAGGGGTCAGTTCACCCCTGGAGGAAGGGGGCCTGCTCAGGGAGAGTGTGAAAACGCAACCAGACAAACCACACCCTTTGGGAGCTCCCCAACCAAGGTTCGGCCCAAATAAAGGGCAGCAGGGCCCTTTCAAAACAAATTAAAAAAGTTCCCAAAAGAGACCCGGCCCCAAAAGACTTGGCCCCTCTAACAAAGTGGTGAGAGAGCTCCAAAGACAGGCAGAGCAGTAATAACGAGCTGACCACACTAAGAGAGGAGCTGCAGGAGAGAAAAAGAAACAGAGGACAGACTGCAGGAGCAGCTAGATCAACCACTCTATGACCTGGCCCTCACACAGCAGAGGAGACCCACCTCAACCAGCCAGGCCTCCCCAGCCCTGCCGGCTGCATGCCTCCCCCCCATCCCACAGAACAGCCTCCCACTTGACAGCGGCACCGGCACAGACCAGCCACAACCCCACTCCAACACCCACCCAGCCCCAACTCTAACCCCCGCCAGTCCAGAAGAAACACTGGCTGAGATTGTCCTGTTGATGGACTCAAATGGGAAGTTTGTTTCAGGAGAATAAAACTTTTCTCTAGACACAAAACGAGAAAGGTGTGGTGCCCAACAACGCAGAGTGCCATGGCGCTGCTTGATAAGGCCCAGCTCGGGTCGCCAAGCAACATAATCATACACACCGGAAGCAACGACCTGCGTGCTCAGCAGGAGAGGGTGGTGACTTCACTACAGCGAGTGATTGAGAAAGCCTCCGCAATCTTTCCCAACTTAAGGATCGTTGGGTCAACCCTTCTACAGAGGAAGGACTTTCGCCCTGCCACTATCCAAAGAATAAACGCCAGCCTCTCCCGGGACTGTGCTCTGCGACCCAATGTACACCTGGCCCACCATCCCACCCTCGATCTGGACTGTCTCTATGACCATGTTCACCTGTACAGGGAGACAGTCCCCATCCTTGCTAAGACTCTCAAGGACGTCGCTTTAAACCGCATCCCGACCTCTCCACCCAGGAACAGCAGAGCAATCTCCACCCCCCCGAGATCACCGAGACAACACCCTGGACCCCCCAGCCACGGCCACAGCACCACCAACCTCAATGCCCACCACAACCAGCACAGCACAGACCACTCCTGCCCAGCTTCAGACCCACCCAGACGAGGCCTAACACCCCCCTCCCCCCCCACCACAGACCCCACACCTGGAGGAGCCACAGCCCGGCAGACAGAGCTATGCACAAGCTGTGAGAGGAGCAACTGGCCCAGCTCCCACCAACTAAATGAGTGACATTAAACAAATGCTGAGTCTACTATGCTCACATGTGATAGGCCGAGGGTCATGGTAAGATGAGCACAAGAACTCCACCATCCTCACACTACATCCACCCAAGTGGCTTGACACAAATGCTATCCTAAATTATAAATAAATTACATTTGCATAATAAGAGTTTACGTTAATCCTATTTTAATAGTTCTTGTTGGATTGTGAGTGTTTATCTCATTTTGAAGGTAAAGATTAAAAAGTTATGAAATCTTTTTACGTTGCATGTTGGAATTTACATGGTTTGAAGTTCTCTGCTTCTGGGATAAAGAGCAGAAACCCTAGCCCTCATCCTCCGATCCAACAGGTCCCAGACGTGCTCAATGGGATTGAGATCCAGACTCTTCGCTGGCCGTGGCAGAACACTGACATTCCTGTCTTGCAGGAAATCACTCACAGAACGAGCAGTATGGCTGGTGGCATTGTCATGCTGGAGGGTCATGTCAGGATGAGCCTGCAGGAAGGGTACCACATGAGGGAGGAGGATGTCTTCCCTGTAACGCACAGCGTTGAGATTGCCTGCAATGACAACAAGCTCAGTCAAATGATGCTGGGACACACTGCCCCAGACCATGACGGACCCTCCACCTCCAAATCGATCCTGCTCCAGAGTACAGGCCTCGGTGTAACGCTCATTCCTTCTACGATAAACTGAACTAACTAATTCAATCGAATTGATCCAAAAAAACTAAAAAACATGTATCTGGTTAATAATCAACGAGGAGGCTATCTTAACAGATAACAACGTCTTCCTCTGTGCCACATACATTCCCCCCTCAGAGTCACCCTACTTCAATGAAGAGAGTTTCTCCATTCTAGAGGGGGAGATTAGTCACTTTCAGGCCCAAGGCAATGTGCTGGTCTGTGGAGACCTGAATGCTAGAACAGCAGAAGAACTAGACACTATTAACAGTCATGGGGATAAACACCTATCGGGAAGCAACAACCTTTCCCTCCCCACATACCCCCCCAGAAACAACTATGGAGTACAGCCCCTGAAGCTCTGTCGAACACTGGGTCTGTACATAGTCAATGGTAGGCTAAGTGGAGACTCTTTTGGTAGGTACACCTACAGCTCATCCCTTGGCAGCAGTACTGTAGACTACTTCATCACCGACCTCAACCCAGAGTCTCTCAGAGCCTTCACAGTCAGCCCACTAACACCTCTCTCTGACCACAGTAAAATCACAGTGTATCTGAAAAGAGCAGAACCCAACCATGAAGCATCACAGCCCAATAAATTACATGGTACTAAACAGGCCTATAGATGGAGTGCAAACAGTACAGAAATCTACCAAAAAGCAATTAGTAGCCAAAAAATACAATCTCTCCTGGACAACTTTTTAGCCTTAACATTCTCCTACAGCAATGAAGGTATAAATTTGGCCGTTTGGAACATAAACGTTTTATTTGACAAATTAGCCTCCTTGGCTAATCTAAAGAAACATAAGAGCAAACCAAAAATAATAGATAATGAAAAATGGTTTGATAATGATTGCAAAAATCTAAGAAAGTCATTGAGAAATATATCTAATCAAAAACACAGAGACCCAGACAACAAAAATATACGCCTTCAATATGGGGAAACACTGAAGCAACACAAACACACCCTAAGAACAAAAAAGGAGCAGCACATTAGAAATCAGCTAGATGTGATTGAGGAATCCATAGAATCAAACCACTTCTGGGAGAATTTGAATAAATTAAACAAACCTCATAATGAGGAATTGGCTATCCAAAATGGGGATATGTGGAGAAATCACTTTGCAAACACCTACAGCAATATAACAAAGAGCCCAGAACAACAAGATATACAAGAAAAATTACAAATCCTTGAATCAGCAGTCAAAGACTATCAGAATACTGTGGATACTGCAATTACAGAACAGTAATTATTGGAAAAACTTTGCACTCTCCAACCCAAAAAGGCCTTTGGAGCTGATGGTTTTTTAAATGAAATGATCAAATATACAGACCACAAATTCTAATTGGCTATACTGAGCAGAAGCCAGATTAGATTTTTTTAAAATTATCGTACAACAGACCACATTTACACCCTCCACACTCTAATTGACAAACAAGTCAACCAAAACAAAGGCAAAATCTACTCGCCTTTTGTAGACTTCAAGAAAGCATTTGATTCAATTTGGCACGAAGGTCTTTTTTATATACTAATAGAAAGTGGTATTGGAGGGAAAACATATGTTATTGAATCAATTTACACAAAAAACAAATGTGTGGTTAAAATTGGCAACAAGCAAACAGACTTCTTCTCTCAGGGACGTGGAGTGAAACAGGGCTGCCCAATAAGTCCAACACTATTTAACATCTACATGAATGAATTGACAAAAACATTAGAAGAATCGGCAGCACCTGGTCTCACCCTACACAACACTGAAATCAAGTGTCTGCTGTACGCAGATGACCTGGTGCTACTGTCTCCCACTAAGGAGGGGTTACAGCAGCATCTAGATCATCTGCACAGATTCTGTCAGACCTGGGCTCTGACCGTTAATCTAAAAAAAACGAATATAATGATATTCCAAAAAAGGTCCGGAAATCAGGATGACAAATATAAATTCTATTTGGAGACAGTTCTATTAGAACACACCAAAAATTACACATATCTAGGACTAAATATCAGCAACACAGGTAGCTTTCACATGGCTGTGAATGAGCTGAGAGACAAAGCAAGAAGAGCATTCTATGCCATTAAAAGGAATATTAAAATCGAAATTCCAATTAGAATCTGACTCAAAATGTTCCAATCAGTTATAGAACCAATTGCTCTATATGGCAGCGAAGTATGGGGTCCGCTCTCTAATACTGAATTTACCAAATGGGACAAACATCCAATCGAAATACTGCATGCAGAGTTTTGCAAGACTGTATTGCAAGTGCAAAGAAAAACTCCAAATAACGCATGTAGAGCAGAATTGGGCCAATACCCCCTCCTTATTCAAATAGAAAAAATAGTCATCAAATTTTACAGCCATCTAAAAACAAGTGACCCCAAAACATTCCATCACACAGCTCTACTATGTCAAGAGATGAAACAAGAGAAGAGTCCCCTCAGCCAGCTGGTTCTGAGGCTCAGTTCACTAACCAAAACCAACCTCATAGAGCCTCAGGACAGCACTCAGAAAATCTGGCCCGACCAAATCATCACAAAGCAAAAAGAAAAATATATCACCTATTGGAAAGACACCACAAAAAATCTAAGTAAACTTCAATGTTATTTGGCTCTAAACAGACAGTACATGGTGGCAGACTATCTGACCACTGTGACTGATAGAAAACTGAGGAAAACAATGACTAGGTACAGACTCAGTGAGCACAGTCTGGCTATAGAGACTGGTCGTCACAGGCAAACCTGGCTGCCCAGAGAGGACAGGCTGTGCTCACTCTGCCCCCGGGGAGAGGTAGAGACAGAGTTGCATTTCCTACTACACTGTGACAAATACTCAGACCTAAGAGAATCTTTCTTTCCCAAAATTATCATTCAGTACAAAGAATTTGAAACTATAAAAGAGGAAGAAAAAATCAAAAATGTATTGGGTGAAAAGCCAAAATGTGCAATTTTGGCAGCCAAATATGTGTCCTCCTGCCACAACCTGAGGGACAGCCAGTGAAAAGTGTAATGTAATGTCAATAATATTTCCTGTTTTGTTATGGCTTTTATACCATGTAATGTGTCTTCTCAGTCATGTTGAGATTGGTCGACTACTATTGCTTTAATGTATTGTTATTCTCATTAATATTGTTGTTGTAGTTGCTGTTACAGTTTTTCTCAATTGCTAAAACACAATTTCTGAAACCATTTTCAGCTCCATTTCCTGAAAACACTAAACACAAAACCTCATCTTCAAGCACTATTTACAAAACCTCTGACTCCTCTCGCAAAATGAAACATTCGCCTCAAAACAGTTTTACCTGTGTTCAAAATCAAACACTGCTCTCAAATCATAAACAAAGTGATCAAAATGTTCCAGTTCTCAGGGAGAAGTAAATGTTTAATCTCAAAACAAATTTCACATTTTTCCGTCATTGTCTTTTGATGAACGAAAACATGTTCTATCATAGTAGCTCAAAATTGATCAGAAATTACTACTCTGCTTTGCTCTTTGCAATTTTGTTTTTGTTCTTCCTCCTCCTCGTACCCCTGTTTTTACAGTACTGTACCCTGCATCTCACAAACTGGTCCTTTGTCTCTGTGATTCTGTAATTCTTGTACTTTGTTGATATGAACCTGCAACCAGTCAAAATCTATTGAGCAGTCAGTACTGTTAACAAATGGAAAGCACGATCTTCAGGGCCATACAATTTGTCCATTGTCCAGTGTACAGCCTACAATGCACTGTACTACAGTATACAATACTAAAAGGGACAAAAATCAAAGGAGTAAACATGTGATCAATGTGCTTCTTCTTGTCTTTGGGCTGGGTCAGGCCAGAGCACTTCGTCGACATCACAAGCAATATTGTCCCTCCTGAGGCAACGGGGGAAGAAGCCTCTTGTGTGCCGTATCCAGCCCTGACATGATTCCTCACCTATATCACCACAGGCTAAATCCATGGCTTGCAGCAGATTTACTCTGGTGTAGGGTTGTCTATCATACACTTTCCATCTCCAAGAGGAGAAAAACTCCTCAATCGGATTCAGGAAAGACGAGTATGGAGGGAGGTACAAGTTTAAAAAACTGCCCATTGATGTTAAACCATTCCCTTACCTGAGCAGCTCGGTGGAAACTGACATTGTCCCACACTATCACATAGGTGGGAATGGGATTCTCATTTAGCTCTCGACCCTGCTGCTCTTGAACCTGCTGCTCAAATAAAATATATCTTATATTGGCAATACATCTTAGAAGGTGCTGGGTGTTATATGGCCCGAGTGTAACATGGTGATGTAGAACGCCATGGTTGCCGATAGCAGCACAGATTGTGACATCGCCACCTCGTTGACCA